GGGGTGGGGGGTTGGGGGAAGTAGATGGCTCCTGAGGTCGTTGCAGAATTCTAGAATTCTACCTACCACAGAGTGAAAATCAGCAGATCAAGTCTCAGAAGACCCTTCCAACTATCAAGCTGTTTTAAGTCTTTAGAGTCTTAGTAATGGGAGGCAGAGTTTGACTCAACTCAGACCTACGTTGTCCTGCCAGGCATAGCCTAGGTAACTGTTTGTTAAAGGAGGAAAAGAAATTTTTGGCATTGGTTAGGCAGTTGGTCTGGGTGACCTTTAAGGACTTTTGTAGCTCTGAGTCGCTAACTGCTGGTCATCTAAGCCAGACAGCTTGGAGTCACTTCTCTCCACCTCACCTTTCACCTCCAAGGAAATGGCAAAGTGCAGCTGAGTGTTCCCTCAAAAGTGAGTCTTGAATCTGTCTGTTCCTCATACCATGATGGTGTTGAATCCAGGCTCTGCAGTCAGACTGCCTGGGTTTGGATCTAGGCTCCCTCACTTCCTGGCTGTATAACCTTGGGCAAGTTACCTTCTCTCTCTGTGCTACAGTTTCTTCATCCATAAAATGGGAATTGTACCTACTTCATAGAACTATCATGAAGATTAAATGAGAGAATGTGACTAAAGCACTTAGCACATTCCTTTCCCAGAAAAGTAGGTATTTAATGTGGTTAGCTGTGTTTTTTTTTTTAATTCCTCTTTTTTTTTATTGTGGTAAAATATAAATAAATCATATTTATTTTAACCATTTATAAATATGCAGTTCAGTGACGTTAAGCTGTGTTTATTATTAATATTTTTATCCTTGTTACTTTTCTAAACTAAAACAGTTGGTTTCTGATCCTTTCCTTAGTCTTGACACTCTCAAATCGGTGATCTCTGATGCTGCCAGATTGAACCCAGATTTATTCTAGGTTACTTTCTTCTTAAATCCCTTCAGGGCTTGTCATCACGGTCCTGAGAAAGCCCAAGCTCCGCAGTGTGCCAGATGAGGCCCTTCTGGACTCTTTTTCTTGGTTCCCAGTTTCCATCACATGCCTTGTGTGTCATTTCCCAGCAGTTCTGAACTGGCTTTCCCCAAGATAGATCGTGTTTTCCATATCCCTGTGCTGTTGCTTATGGGGTTGCCTTCACCTTCATCTGGCTTGTTGTTCCTGCCTACCCTTCCAGACTCAGCAAAAGGGCCATCTTTTCATTTAATTTTTAACACATTTACTGAGAATCTGTTCCATTCCGGGCACCATTCTAGGTGCTAGGGTTATAGGGGAGAACAAAACACAGTCCCAGACTTCACTCATACCACTTACATTTTAAAAGGGAAACCGACAAAAATGGAAACGAAATAAATAATAATTCCTCATACTAAGAATTACCTGGGGTGCACTCACATGGGCATGTGAGAGAGCATGACTGGGGTAGATATTGGAAGTAGAAATTGGGTATTCTGCAAAGAATTGGGTTTACTACTTAGTGAATGTTATCACTGACACAGAAACTTCATATAAATTACCATGCTGTGTAACAGATTCAAGGATATGAACCGTCTGGGAGGTGTTTGGTGGGTATGGCTTCTTGAGCCTCCTCTATTTCTTCACAGAAGGTATTGCACTGGTGGCAATGGTATCTGCTGAGGGGAAGCCCCACTCTCATTTCCAACATCACCCCAAATCTGCGTTATAATTACTTTCTGAGGATGCAGAAAATCACCATTTGCCAGCCTTATGACTTGGCCCTATCATCTAGGTGTTGGGTTGATTTTAGTATGTCGGTTTTGAATCCAGTGATCTTTCTCCACTCTTTCATTAGTCTTAATGGTTAGTTTAGACTTCTGCTTAGGTAGGTAACTACATGTACATCATTTTTTAAAAAGACTTTATTTTTTTAGAGCACTTTTAGGTTCATAGCCAAATTGAAGAGGAAGGAACAGAGCTATCTCATATATACCCCCTGCCCTGACACATGCATGGTCTCCCCCACTATTAGCACCCACACCAGAGTGGCACGTCCATTACAGCTGATGGACCTACATTGACATATCATAGTCACTCAAAGTCTATGGTTTACATTAGGGTTCATTCTTGGTGGTGTACATTCTATGGAACTGCATTATTTTTAAAGAAAGGCCATTTGACTCTTACTTTTGCAATCCTTATACCTCTTTTTCATGACCTACTGTACTGGTTAGGACCTCAGGTATTGTATTTAAGAGGTGGGAAGATAGCAGGCATTCTTGTCTTGTTTTTGACTTGAATGGGAATGGATGTAATATTTCACTATTAAAATGATATTTGTTGTAGGTTTTGTACCCTTCATCAGGTGAAAGATCTACTTTTCTGTCCTAATTTACCAAGAGTTATTACTGTTATTTTCTTTAAATCACAAATGAGTATAGAATTTTATCAGTTGTTTTCTGCTTCTCTTGAGATGATACAGTGACATATAATATATTTCTCCTTAACATACATAGTTCTGGGGCCAGCAGTCTTTTTCTTAAAGAGCCAGAAAGTAAATATTTTAGGATTTGCAGGCCATATGATGAGTTCTCTGTCATAGCTACTCAACTCTGCTGTTGTAGCATGAAAGCGGTCATAGGAATTTAATAGTTTAGATAGGTTGTGTTTTTTATCTTGTGTTACCTTTATTGTTGTGCCTTTCAGTAGTATTCTTAAGCCTTTCTATTTTTAGACAGTAGCTTTTAATTTCCTTTTTTGAACAGTGATGAAATCAGTTCTTTCTTTGCTTAATATTTTATCTTCTGGACTCTAAGCACCATGAAAGTAAGAATCACATGTATTTATCATGGTAGCCCCAGCAATTCAATAAATATTTATTAAAGGAGGAGTAGAATAAATTACTTACAAATAATTTGATAGTTTACGATTTTTACATGATGTAACATTACTAAGAAAAAGGAAAGGTGACAATCTCTCAACTCTGGTGCTAAAGTAAAAATTTTCTAGATGAGTCTACAAAATACTTGATGCCAGGCCTCCATGCTCAGAGATTCCAGAATTTTTCCTTTTCCAGAATTTTGTCACTTTTATTGGTCTTCTCAAGGAACTTTGGCTTTATTGGTCCTCTCTATGTATCTTTGTTTTCTGTGTCATTATTTCATGCTGTTACGTGGTTTAATATTTTCTTCTTTTTACTTTAGGCAGTTGTATTTTTCTTTTTCTAATGTAGGCCATTTATTTTCAGACTTTTTTCTTTTTTATGTAAGCATTGAAGAATATACTTTTCTGTGATTTTCTATTTTTGTATTACATGTGTTCTCATATATACTGTTTTCATTATCACATCTCTGTTTTCTAATTTCTGTTGTAGATTAATGAGAAGTATCCTTTTAAATTCGTAAATGAATGTCTGTTTTAATAATAAAGATATTTAGCTTAATGGGATTATGGGTCAGGGAGTGAGGGATGTTCTAGAATCTTTGTATTTGTTGATATTTATATGTTTTTCTAAATATTCTATGAGTGCTTGAAAATAATGTGTATGATTTCTGTATTATCTAGATCAAGCTCATTATGTTTTATTAAAATCTTTTTGTCCTTTCTGATTTGACTGCTTGATCTTAATTACTCGAAGATGTTAAAAATCTCTGCTTTGATCATGGATTTAAAATTTCCCCCCTGTAGTTCTGTCAGTGTTTTGAAGCTTTTGTTCTTAGATGCATATATATTAAAATGTTCTGTCTACCTGGGAAATTGAATCTTTTATCATTATATAGGTAAACTTTTTTTTTCTAGTAATGCTTTTTTGCTTCAAAGTTTGTTTTGTTGTATATTAATAGATCTATACCAGCTTACTTTCTTTTTTTTTTTTTTTTTTTTTTTTTTGCGGACCGGGGCCCTGTCCCTGTTGTGGCCTCTCCCGTTGCGGAGCACAGGCTCCGGACGCGCAGGCTCAGCGGCTATGGCTCACGGGCCTAGCCGCTCCGCGGCATGTGGGATCTTCCCAGACCAGGACACGAACCCGTGTCCCCTGCATCAGCAGGCGGACTCTCAACCACTGCACCACCAGGGAAGCCCACCAGCTTTCTTTTGATTAGCATGGCTAGTACACTATATATCTCTTTAATTTATTTTTTATTCTGTTAACATCTTTATTGGAGTATAATTGCTTTACAATGGTGTGTTAGTTTCTGCTGTATAACAAAGTGCATCAGCTATACATGTACATATATCCCCATA